TATTCAACTCAATGATCTGTTCTATTTTTCCGTTGCATTACTAATACATTATACATAGGAAAGCATAAAAAACCTAGCTGAGTAAATATTTGATATACTACACGATAGGAACTATCTTATAAACTTATTTAGATTTTTTTTGTTCACACTCAAGTGGCACATTCATTGTCTCATTGCCTAATGTGTGGTGAAATAACTGAATAAAGATGTGATCGGAATGAAATAAGAAATACATGAAAATTGATAGATGTTTTGGTGGACATGAAGGATCCACCTAGGGGAGTTGAAAAAACCCTCATTCCAAACCAATGGTACACTTGGGCTCCAGGAGTCTGAGGGAATAAATGCCGTTTGAACCAATCGTTGGTCACAGACTACGATGAGACTGCATGTCCTGACGTTGGTCCACTGCCTTGTAGATCAGACCTTTGGGTTGAAGGCTTCGAGTGTAGCCCCTAATAAAACCGTATACTTAGATCTGAGCACACGGGTAGTAAACAATTCAAGTGACTTGTGTGGCTCATATGTGTTCAGTGCACCATTGTACCAATACCTATGTGTTCAAATAAATAAATAAACGATATATATTTTCAGTATGGTACCAGTTCTGTTTATTGATGAAGTCTTTTTTCACAAGAAAACGAAATTAAGCATGACACATAGTTGAAATTAAGCCTAATGTATGATGATGTGGACAACCTCGACTATTCTGCTTGATATAATTTCACTGACAGAATGTGTCACTATAGCAACTAATTATTCAACTTCTCGAACAACAATATCAATGGTTGGTTATTGAATTCAAAAAAAGTTATGCTATGTCTGAAGCGATTACGAGTTTGCTTACTCTAGGAACGGAACAAAGACCGATAAGCTAGCTATTCTGACGCGTCCCAGCCCCGCCAACTAGAGAGAGAAGTCGAAGTCCAAACGGGGAAGTATATTACGCAAAAAGCCAGAAGCACGAGCGATAACAACAGACACAAATCAAAACGTATATATACAGCACAAAAACCGTCTTTGGGAAGCGTTACAAAATAGTATACTAAAAGATACAACGGACCGACATAAAGGCGAAAAGAGCGCTTTTGACGCGAAAACAAAGAAATTCAAGTCTTCCAAATAAAATTACAAAATTAGTACCTTTCCAAGTGAGTTCTGGGGATCTAACGTCCCCAACAGTTATCATTATATTTTATTTATGATTAGCTAAACTTGTCAGGTATTTCATTTATTAATTGAATGTATTTGATAACTTCAGTTCCCACACAATGAAATGGGTAAGTTTAGGAATCATTGTAATATTGGATAGAATGATGTCATTCAGTAACTCCTTATTAAATCAGTCAGCTACAACGTAGGACCAGGCACATATGTGCATCGGTCCAGGTTGCCATACCGCATCAGCACAACGAGATGAACACCGGATTCATAGCAGTGGTTAGGTCAAAGGTGGTAATATATAAGAGAAAGATTGCACATAAAGATATAGTACAAGAAGAAAGAATTGGTTCGTAGAAAGAAGGATATGAAGTGATTTTAATCTCTTAGTTTAAGGGAAGACACAGAGTGTATACACCGACGCCATTGTGATCGATTCTGAACCATGTCACGAAGAGTCTCCAACCATTGGTCACGATAGTCACGCGGACTCCAACCAAGTAGTCTGCATCTACCAACATGGCTCAGACTAGAAGTTTGTGACTTCAAGGACTGATGCCACGTTTTGGTTTGGCCGCCCCTAACTTTCTTCCAACCATTTCCAATACCGGATAGCCAAGGAAGCCTGCTGACCGATTTGACATACGTACGTTGAAGGCTCCAATGTGTAGTTTGGAGTGGAGTTTCAGTAGACCTGGGACAGAGTTTTGAGCACTAGAATCGTTGGCTATGGTGACACTTGAGGACGAAGCCGAAAGAGGAAGTTTAGAGTTGAAAGTCGATGTAGGAGGAATAATAGGAATTGAAGAGGAAGGTTGATTATGAATACAGTGGTCTTGAGTGCTGCTAGAGATATGAGGGTGGTTATCACTTCCCGGTTTCCCACACCGAGGAAGGGTTCTTCTGGAGGTACCTGAAAAGGAAATTGAATTAGAGGTGGTCTCAGTGACCTGAGAGCGTGAACACAGTGCCCAAGGGACAACTGCTTGAGACCGGTCGCGCACGGCCTTTTTGTGGGAGGTTTTTGACATGTTAGCTCCGTTCTTCAAAGGGCCTTACCGCCGGAGACGGAAATCCGTGAGGTAAGGTGAGGTGTGCATTTTTAGAGTCGACCTTTTCTAACTCCACCCCTCCTTGTGGGAAGGCAGCATCGCTGTCATGCTGGTTGTCTGAAGGAAACACCTTACTGCTGACACACCTCTGTACAGTCAGCAGTACGACTTCGGACCTTGGGTTTCTTGCTTTTAGTCTTACCGCTCTTCAACCGACCTTTCTGACATGGTAGGACCTTGAGGGACGGTTGTTCCAGCCAGTATAGCTCGGTTGCTTCATCACGATAGGCAAGCCCGACCACCATGACAAGGTAGCAACAACGGTCGGGTATTATGAAATCCCCATTTAATGAAAATGATTTATAAATAAGCGATAGTAATAAACACAGTTAACTTCAATGAAACAATTATCTTTCATAAATATTTCTTACAAAGAAATAATAACTGAAGCCCTACACCTACGAGCGAACCCGAATGATCTAAGCAGACGAAATAGAGTACTATTGACTACATTATAGCTACTTATGATTAGTAAGTAGAAATCTCTACTACTTCCATTTCATCTCGAGCTTGATCAGCTATTGTTTGAATATCCCATGAATAACTAACTTGTTTAACATTATCATATATTTACTTTTACTTCATACATGCTACAATAAATTTGATTAGTGATTATCTTCGACTGGAGCCCCTCTTGCGCTACTGCCGATCCCAAGCCCTGGTTAAGGAGGTGGGTAGGGCATGGGATTAGCGACCACATGTAGTAGAAAACCAACTCAGTAAAAATAATTCAAACTCTGCCCTGGGAGTTAGAACATCTTCATTTAGAAGAGTCATGACGTCTCATGATGAGGGCAGAATCCCTTCGGAAGTCACGAAGTTGATTTCCCTTCCGACAATCAGAATAACCATTAATTTGGGTACATAGAAAGTATCTATCTGATTGACTAATTTCATTTATGTCATGTGTCCATAAATTGAAACAATTCACTATTGATTTAGCAAAAATTAACAAAAGTATGACATTAGAAATTCTTTCATAATCATCATAAAGTCAATCAGACTTGACAAAAATCATCTGAATTGTTTATTGTAGAAAGATTTCATAATTGTAACCATAAACTTATCAAGTAATTTCACCAACAAAATTATGAATTTGCATCTTTCTATATTATAATCTTCACTGATGAAGTACTCAGCTATTAATTAATGTGAAGTTTTGTACACTACTCAGTAATAGGTTATTTTCACTTTGATAATTTTTTTGGCCAGAGTACAATTTATGAACGAACCAATCAGATATAAGATTACAGGTCTCGGATTTGGGAGCGAAATTCACTCATCTATTTGGCTAAAGAATTTTGGTATCATAGTTGATGTCATTTCGTGATGAAAACCCTAAATCTAATTCCTAACCTTAACCATCAATAATAATTGATAATTCTTATTCCTCACATAGGTTTATAACTTTTATTTGGTCTTAGTTATTAGATGGACACTCTCAAGGACAGTCTAGAGCCACTCAAAGGTCGTTCATAAATTATAGTCTCACCCTTCAAGCGAGAATATACGCTTGCTAAAACGCAGTGTAATTGATAGAAAAATCAAGAATAATTCTATACGAATATCTAATCACCCATAATATCTAATCTGCTTTACCAAAAGGTGTAGAATCGTCAGTGATATGAAAGTCGAACGTTATCTGTAAATACCAGTTTCCTAGATAAAACTACTATTTTCCACTTCATTTATCTTAACATTTTCACTATTAATAGTTCTATCCTATTCAAAAAATTCAGTTCTTGAAATCAACTTCAATATGATCTTCAGAATACAAATGGGGCGGAAACCTGGAGAACTACGAAAGCCAACATCCAGAAGATACAAGTGTTTATTAACAGTTGTCTACGCAAAATACTTCGGATCCATTGGCCAAACACTATTAACAACAACCTAATGGGAGAGGGAAAAACCAGATTCCAGCGGAGGAAGAAATTAAGAAGAAGCGCTGCAAGTGGATAGGAAATATATTGAGGAAAGCAACCAACTACGTCACAAGGCAAGCCCACACATGGAACCCTCAAAGTCAACGGAGAAGAGGAAGATCAAAGAACACATTACGTCGAGAAATGGAGGCAGATATGAGAAGAATGCGCAACAATTGGATAGAACTAGTGTTAGCGGGACATAGACTGGATTAAAGCATGCTCAATGCACGATTGCTTTGGTACGCGTTGATTGGCTCATTTTTATCCAATCAGCGTTAGTTAATACTTAGTGAAAACTAAAAATCTTCTCATGTGAAAAACTATAAATATACTAGTGTTTTCCCTATTGACTACTGGCTTGCTTCTTACTTCCATCTAACCTTGTTATTTGGAATATAATCTCTTTTCCTGTTCAACCGTGTTCTGATTTGGGGACTTGTCGAGTGAATCGGTGTCCGAGAATACTAAGCAATAGGAATAGCTGGGTCATAACCGTAAGAAAGAGATTATAACAACTAGAAAGGAAGGCTCAGGATATAGTGGGTTGGAGAACACTAGTCGGTAGCCTATGCTCCATGGGGGGGGGTGACAGGCGTAAGTAAGTATCAAAAACGAAAGAGAGTAATAATTATACAACAGAAAGTATCCATTCAACATCAAATTTACTGATATTGACGATGACACCACCAACAACAACAACAACAACAAGTCAAACAATGTAAGTATGGATTTTGAATAAAGCCAATATATAAATAGATTAACAGAGTAAATGTAATTACATTGACAAACGTATGTAGCCCTATACACACATATTTATATTAAATTTACTTTGTAAAATGTTACAAATTCTATGATGAAAACAATAGACAAATAAAAAACGAATCATTGGAAGACAAACAACTGATATAAATAAACTTAAAATAGAGAATAATAAACGTGGTGCAAATATCTTCCATACCATTAAATGACGACGTAATAAACCAGTACTTAGCATACAACCTAAAGTCTACAATGAAAAAAAAACAAAAAAAAATTTTTTTTGGCAAAGATGTCAGTGAACATCATTCGTCATTTGATTAGAATGAACAAATGAATAAACAATTAAGTTCAATGATTCACATTTTCAGTCCCATTTTATTTTATTTATTTATTTTAACACATAGATATTGGTACAAGGAAGCACCAAATACATATGCGCCACACAAATCTTATTCGATATGTGTGAAGCATGTGATACTGCCCGGGTGCCCAAACCGAAACAGGTGGTTTTCTCAGGGGGCAACACCCCGAGCCTTCGACCTAAAGGTCGAACCATCGTCAGGAGATGCAGTCCCGTGGTAGCGAGTGACCAACAATTGGTTCATACGCCATTTGTTCCCGCAGGATACTAGAGCCCATGTGCACCATTGATTTGGTTTGGGATCCCGTTAAAGCGCCGGACATTCGCTTTTCGTCCTCTTATTTTCGTAAACAACAGTAATGCCACGAGAATGCAGTGAACAGGACTTCCCCGGTAGAGGCTATATACGCGTGGCCATGTGAGAGCATTTCGAGAAAGAGAGCGAACTCTCCCCACTCTCGGCCGTACCAGGGCATTTCAGTCCCATACTACTTGTCATATTCAAGTTAGTTTCTTTATGAAATCAAGATCAATGATCATCACGATGATGAATCTAAATTTTGTTTGTTAAATGAAGCAGTTATCAAATTGAATATAGTGAATATCATTAGTTGAAATCTGATCGAGACTATAATTTATGTACGAATGATTCAGATTTAGGGATTTCGGTGCCGAATTCATTCATCCTTTTGGTCAAAATAGCGTCTTGACATTTTAGTTGATGTCACAGTTCGTGATGAAAAAACAATAAATCTAATTCCCAGCCCTAATCATCAACCGTGAATCATAATCCTTATGCTTGAAACTGCTTTACAACCCTCATTTAGTCCCAGTAAGTAGGTGAACATTCTCAAGGTCACACTGGCGTCACTCAAAGGTCATCCGCAAATTATGGTTTCACCAAAATCTCTTTGGATCGAATTCATTAAGAGTACGTGTATTACGATATTATGTATGTAGATTTTTTTCAACCAAGAAACCATGTAGATAAATTGCACGTCGAACGCCCCCAAACGCTCTGGTACGACCGAAAAATGGGGAGAGTCAGCCCGCTTCTCGAAATGCTCTCACATGGCCATGCGCAAACAGCCACTGCTAGGAAAATCCTACTCACTGTCTTCTCGCGGTGGGAATGTTGTTTACGAAATTGAGAGGACGAAAAGTTAATGTCTGGTGCTTTAACCAGGTTGATGGACACGGTAGATTCACCTAGGGGAGTTGGAAAACCCTCATTCCAAACCATGGTGCATATGGGCTCAAGGATCCTAAGGGAACAAATTGCGTATGAAATAATCTTTGGCTACCGGCTACTGCACTCAGGTGGTATTCCAGCCCATACACAAATCAAGTGACTTGTGTGGTGTATATGTATTCAGTGCCTTTTTGTACCAACATTTATGTGTTTAAATCAATCACCCCATAAAAAACTTTACTAGTTATCAAGATTGTCTTGAGTTCTGAAATAAGGGATCGTGAACCGAAAATCTAGTGGTCGACTGATGATGAATACGTATAGAGCCATTTTTTTATTAAGTGAAAAGAATATCAGATGAATGTTAAGTTTGAGATTAGATTACAACAGAAAGAACAACAATGTTCGTGTAAATTATCACACAGTGAAGAAAATAGCAACACTTCAACTAGTTTTTACAGATAGTCAGCCTATATTGAATGGGGTTATTAGAATGAAAGTTGCTAATCAAGGTGATTTGTCAAAAATTAGTCTCTAGACCACTAAGCCGGCATCCAACAGTGTTAATATCTAACTTCAACTAATCCATGTGTCGCTCAATTTCGTGGATAAGTCGAAGTTAGACATTAACATCGTTGGATGCCGGCTCAGTGGTCTAGAGGTTAAGCGTTCGCGCTCGAGACCGAAGGTTCCGAGTTCCAATCCAGCGAGGCGGGATTGTGGATGCACACTGCTGAGGAGTTCCACAGTAGGACGAAACGGCTGTCCAGTGCTTCCAGGTTTTCAATGGTGGTCTAACATCAATCGGTTCATGATCTCAATCAAAAAACTTAACAATCTCCACAACCCCTAAACTGATAATTACCATGTGCTCACTAGTGAATAGCTTCGTGAGAAAATTCTCGCAGTTCTGGTGAGAAGCCGTGACCAGTGGAGCTAATCCGTGTCTTGTAGAAACAGGTGTCTACCTCAGTACAATGGAAGATGGTCGCGCAACTTTGTGGATTGGTTGAGATTAGACATTAGCACCCTTGGGTGCCGGCTCAGTGGTCCAGTAGGTTAGGCGTCCGCGCGCGAGACTGAAGGCCCTGGGTTCAAATCCCGCGAGCGGGATCGTGGACGCGTATAGATTATTATTATACATCTTACTGTTCAGTTTATTGATTACAGTCTCCCATGTTCACAGTCACATCTTGGCTTGATCTTGTGTATTATTTCTTATTTTATGGTGTGATGCGGTCTGTTTGGTTGGTAAATAAGTCAAGTATGTTAGAAATAAATGATTCTCATAGTGGAAGTTGTTATTGGAGTTCTGGACTCAACTGGAAGGACTAGGAAGAAAAACGACCAATAAGGAAGATAGGTTGCTCATACCGGTTGAACGTCATTGGTTTAGCACAGTACTAATATTGAATAAGTCGTATTTCGATTGGCCAATAATTCACGTGATAATTAGCCGGCCTTAAAGTCACAACATATTTTCACTCGAATATCCCACAAAATCTGAAGTTCTTTAAATAAGTCGAAGAATGTTGACTTTATAGAAATACATCCAAGAATGCATGGAATATGATATTGTATTTGACTTTATTTCTTCGAATGATATGATACCCTTTAGCTAAGTTAAATGTTTTTGGCTGAGCATAACGAGAAAGCAGAGTCACTGTTATGCTAGATGTTTGAGGGAAACACCTTACTGCCGCTACACCTCTGTACAGGCAGAAGTACGACTTCGCCCTCAGGCCTTAGGTCTACTGGTTTTAGCCTTACCGCTCGTCAACCGACCTGTCTGGCACGGTAGGACCTTGAGGAACGGTTTTTTCAACCAGTATAGCTCGATTGCTTCATCACGGCAGAAAAGCCCGATCATCACGTCAAGGTAGCGATAACGGTCGGGAATCATTGATTTCATGAGTTGTGAATAGTGCATAACTATCACATAGAATGAGAAAACATTGTGAATGTTTACACATATATACTTCAGGATAGTAATGTAGAAATATTTCACAGCGTAATTCACTCAATTAGTAACAATTTAAATTAACGTTCAATAGTTTTAATTAGCATTCAGATTTCAGTGAAAAAGTTACTAAACTGATTACTAAACCGTAGTCAATTTGATGTTTGTTTACAATTTAGCGTTGATTACATTGTACTGACCAAGTTGAGATAGGGCTGTAATCCTACAAGATTCAGCATAGTGTGCATCATATTTCGATGTAAGGTCATCGGGACCGATCAATGGGAATCCCTAAGCCTAAGTTCCATTCTTTTTGGCATTTTTCATCAAAGTTTATCTACAGTTTTGAGGAAACTAATGCTTCCAATGACATTCAAATCCGAATAGTCTATTGTGAATGATCAATTTGTGTGAATATTCAAGTACTATAAGGAGTTAACCAGCACCACAAACGTTCGGTGACAATGTCTTTCCTTGAAATTGGTTGGATTCCGCGTGACTATTGTGACCAATGGTTGGAGACTCTCAGTAATATGGCTCAGAATCGATCACAATAGCGTCGGTGTACACACTCTTTGTCTTCCGTTAAACTACGAGATCAAAACTGCTTCATATCTTTATTTCTACGAACAAATTCTTTCTTTCTGTATTATATTCTTATATGCAATCTTTCTTTTATATATTACCACCATTGAATTTACTACTTCTATGAATTCGATGTTCATCTTGTTGTGCTAATGAGTGAGGTGCAGCAACTTGGACCGATGCATATATGTGACTGGTCCTACGTTGTAGCTGACTGACTTTTCCTGAACCCCTTGGCTGAGAAGGAGTTTTCAACTAACACGAAAATTACATCCATGAGAAAGTCCCATTACTGATAGATAGTTTAGTCTTGTTTTGACTCAGAAAATAGCCTTGATATGTCCTATTAATGAAAATATACTCGTACTAGTTACACAAATAAAACTACATATTTTTATTGCATTTAAAACCACATGAAATAAGATCATTAAGGGCGCTAGCCAATAACTTACTAACACACTTTTACTAATAATAAATCTCCAAATGAATAAATCCAAAGCATCAACAAATCTGTAAAAACCAGTATTTCGGCTATTGTTAGGATGGGAATGGATCACCGTCCCATGGACATGATGAAGGCGTGCAGAAAAAATGAGAATCGTTGGTATACTGAAAGCAATTAATATAGGACCTGAATATAAATGCAAGAGAACAGTCAATCCTGGTAACCATCGTGTATTATGGTCACCTTCATATGTAGCATAAGCGGCATCCCATGGAATTCCAGATAATGTTGGTTGATGACCAGTTATAAAAAAAGATAAGTTATCTAACAAGCAAAGAAATATTGCAATAATCCATGAGACGCAGTTCTGAGGTACATGAAGCTGTATTGAATCTAAAGAAATTACAAAAAGGATGGATTAGTTAGGGGATACTAAGTCTGTTACTGATGATAAAAAGGAGCTTAACGATATATTATGATTTCTAAGAAGGTAATTTTTTCATTATTTGATAATGAGTGAAAAATAAGTGAGGAAACATTAGAAGTTGTATTCGTAGGGTTATCAGGAAAGATTCAGTTTCCGTAAACTACATTAACATTTGATTTTTGACGAGACAAACAGGCCGATATGACTAAGTAATTTGATATGATAATAAGAAGGGATTGTACACGAAACGAAAACATATACAACTGATACCTCACCAGTATCTAAGATAATACGATGGAAGAATGATTCATGCTGATTGATCCAATGGTAGAATAACTTGGTTAACAAGATCACTGAGGCTAAAAGCAATATCTGAAGTAGAGAAACCCCTATTCTATAATTTAACAGAATGATATATATAGGTGAAAAGCTTTAAGGAGCATTCCAGCTGGTCTTCAGCTAATCTACAACTAGCACCATTCCCAAACAGCCTGAATGCAACGCTGAAGTAGACCCCCCGATTAACTGAAGTTCAAAAAGTCATAGCTAATCTATAACGAGGAAGAGCAGTTGGTCCAGATGGATTGGCTCCAGAGGTCTTTAAGGATGGCGGTCCAATTTTAGCGATTAGGTGGACTAATAATTTAGCTAAAATCTGGGAGCTGGATGTAATCGCATCTGACTGGTCTCAATCACTGATCGTCCTAATATATAAGAAGTAAAACTCATCCTGTGATAACCATAGAACGATAAGTTTAACTAATATACCATCTAAAATACCAGCCTCAGTAATTATCAGACGCCTAATAAAGATTCGCGAACTGCAAACAAGAGAAAATCAGGCTGGCTTCAGACCTGGTCGTCAGATTTTAAAACTAAGGCATGCTTATCAGCGTCGACAATGATAGTTTTTCGTGAATTAAAAGTAGCATTTGACTCGGTTCTGTGGCACTGTACGTCATTGAAAGGCATACCTCAGAAGTACGTAAACCTTGTGAACGCTCTTTACTCCATCACTGCCAGTCGAACTGTCATCTAATTTTGCAAACTCAAGTGATGTCTGTCAAGTCTGTCCACTTTCTCCATTTTTTTCAGTTTCATCATTGACCTACTACAGGAAACAACGTTCTCGTCGACTGAATTCTCGGGCGTTGATCTCCCTCCAGGAAGTCTACGTATCGATCTAAAATACGCAGATAACATAGTCCTGCTTGATAAAGACGCTGATAAAATGTAGTCTTTTAATAGCACTGAACAACAATTTTAGGATGTTTGGAATGCGCTTCTCTCCCTCTAAATGCAAGTTGTTACTTCAGGACTGGTCTGCGTCAACACCTGAACTAAGGATAGGGAGTGAAGTAGTCAAACACATCGACAACTTCACTTATCTTGGAATTCTGATCAGCCCTAATGGGTCGGTGTCTGCCGAAATATCAGCACGGATTCGTTTGGCTTTTGTCAACTTACGTCACCTATGGCGAGGGCGAGATATCCGTCTATCAATTAACGGACGAGTGTACTGAACGGCAGTTCGTTCTGTTCTACTTTACGGCTGCGAAACGTGGTGATTAAGAGTAGGAGATACCCGTAATTTACTAGTATTTGATAAAAATGCCCTAGAAATATTGCTCGCATCTGCTGGGACCACCAGGTAAGTAATAGTAAGATTAGGCGCAGGATATTAGGGAATGATGGTAAATCAGTTGATGAGGCTGTGAATCTTCATCAACTGAGATGGTTAGGCCACGTGTTACGTATGCCTGAATTCCGATTACCACGACGCACAATGCTGAATAGTGTTGGGAATGGTTGGAAGAAAGTTAGGGGTGACCAAACCAAAACGTCGCATCAGTCCTTCAAGTCACTAACTTCTAGACTGAGCCATGTTGGTAGATGCAGACGGGTCCGCGTGACTATTGTGACCAATGGTTGGAGACTCAGTGACACGGTTCGGAATCGATCACAATAGCGTCGGTGTACACACTCTTTGTCTTCCGTTAAACTACGAGATCAAAACTGCTTCATATCTTTATTTCTACGAACAAATTCTTTCTTTCTGTATTATATTCTTATATGCAATCTTTCTTTTATATATTACCACCATTGAATTTACTACTTCTATGAATTCGATGTTCATCTTGTTGTGCTAATGAGTGAGGTGCAGCAACTTGGACCGATACATATATGTGACTGGTCCTACGTTGTAGCTGACTAACTGAATAAATGAGTTTCAATATTCTTTGATAACTAACTCCCCACTCTCGGTCGTGCCAGGGCACTTGGGACCATTTATCTCATCTAGTTGAAAACATCTGAAAGTAGCTAATAGAATCATTTTTTAACATTCTATAAGTTAATAGCTGTACACCTTTTTGCAAGGTCAATTTAGCTTAACTTAAGTAATTAATGAATAAAAAGAATGTTTAGTACATTGTATATTTGAGTAAATTATAATATTAAACTCACTTTTAATACATTTATCCATATGATTACATTTTGCAGTAGTTGCATGTATACGTATTTGAACGAATATAATCATGAAAACTAACCAAATTATATGGAATTCATTTAGGAAAACAAGTAGAGAAAGTAATGGTAAAACTGTTAAACAGGTCATTGTCCATAAAGTATACAGATAGAGAACACTTCTTTGAATGGATTGATTACAATCATTTGACTGCATAGATTTTATAAAATTTATCTGTTGAATAAGTTGAAATGGAGATTTCAAAAGTTGAAAAAATATGTAGAATATAGTCATCAAGAAAATGCGAGCAATCCAAATCCGAACTGTATGCCTAGACAAATAAAATGTACCATTCAACATTCAATATACTTAGAGAGTATCAAATGATCTCATCTTCAGCAAAGAAAAAAAGTACTCATTTAGTCGGATGATAAAACGCTGATGCATGATTAGGATAGATAGGATTTAAGTGTTTAAAAACCTGAATAATAAACAGTCGGGATGTAGATGTCTTAGCGGTAATCAAAGGAGAACCAAGATTTCACATTTACTCACACTAATTAACAAAACTAATCTACAAAAGGATTTATGATTTGGGAGATTTCCATTCGCTTTCATCACCGCCTCATTTACAAATGGTACAACTAAGCTATTTTGTCGAAACTGTACACTTTCAACTTATAAATAATGATTATAACTTCACAATTTTCTCTTCATAACCTGATGGTATAACTGAAACACGAGTTACCTAAATATTATCAATTGTAAGTGAAACTTTTATCCCATAATATTATCAGTTATTATTAGATGCTTTCATTTTTTTAAAATGCTTTCCCGCAAACTAAGATGTGACAAATAATTTAGCCGGTTTAACATTAGCTGATTCCCCAGATTATTTCAAACTGCAAACAAAAAGAGGGAAGAAGGTAGAAAGGTTTATGGAACTAAGTTCACAAAATGTTCAAGATCATATGATTACATAGGATTCAGTTATGACTTAATATAATCGAGGCCTAGTGCCTAGTGCTATGGGCACTTTAAAATCTGCCCCCAAATGCTCTGATACGGCCGTGAGTGGAGAGACCGCTCTCCCTCTCCAAATGCTCTCAAGTGGCTACGTGCATACAACCACTACCAGGGAAGTCCTACTCATTCTTCTCACGGTGCGGATGTTGTTTACGAAATTAAGAGGACGGAAAGCGAATGACCGGCGCTTTCACCGGATCCCAAACCAAATCAATGGTGCACATGGGCTCCAGTATCCTGAGGGAACAAATGGCGTATGAACCAATCGTTGGTCACCGGCTACCATGGGACTGCATCTCCTGACGATGCTCCACTGCCTTGTTGATCAGACCTTTGGGTCCAAGGCTCGGGGAGTGGCCCTCTAAGAAAACCACCTGCTTCGGTTTGGGCACCCGGGCAGTATCACAGCCCTCATACATATCGAATGAGATTTGTGTGGCGCATATGTATTTGGTTCCTCTTTGTACCAATATCTATGTGTTGGAATAAATAAATAAATAAAATCGAAAAAAAATAACAAGTATGCTGTTTAATACTGAGAACCTCTAGAATAAGACAGCACAATAATCTAGAATAACTATCGCCAAATGACAAATTTATATATTTATTTGAACATATAAATATTGGTACAAAGGGGCACTGAATACATATGCGCCACACAAACCACTTAATTTGTGTGTAGGCTGCTCAGACAGAAGCAGGTGGTTTTCTTAAGGGGCCACATCCGGGGCCTTCAATCTAAAAGTCTAGTCCACAGGGTAGTGGAGCAACGTAAGGAGATACAGTCTCATGGGAGCCGGTGGTCAACGATTCGTTCATACGCCATTTGTTCCTTCAGGATCCTGGAGCTCATATGCACCATTGGTTTGGAACAAAGGTTTTCCAACTGGTCTAGGTGGATCTTCCAAATACATCAACCCGGTTAAAGCGCCGGACATTAGCTTTTCGTCCTCTCAATTTCGTAAACAATACCCCCGCCACAAGAAGGAAGTAAGTAGGATTTCCATGGTAGTGGTTGTACACGCGTGGCCATCTGAGACTATTTCGAGAAGGAGAGCTAACTCTCTTCACCGTCGACCGTACCAATGACAAATAACAATAACGATATTCAGAAGAATGGCTTATAAGCGTGTTTTTTTTTACAAGACTAGATGTAGTCACTTTTGCCAACAAACACAAATGATTTGAAAAATAGAAAATAAGAAAACATCACATAGTTGTCTCATCCACTCTAAAGAAATGAAATGAGAATAACTTACAATTTATGTTTTGGAATGAATCCAATCCAATTCGTTGATTCCGCAGAATCTACCATCCATAATAAAGACAATAAACTACCAATTAATATAAATAAACATAATTTCCTCCAAGCAACTTTATTCGATTGATTAACACCAATATATATATTTAGATATTCAAACAACAACCGCCAATACATACGTAAACAAATGATTAACATGAAACAAGCAAACGTTACACGTATCCAACTAATTGGATGAAATTCATGAATAGGATTTAATTTATTCAAAGATTTACTAATCCATGGATCAAGTATAGATCGACATATAGAACTATAGTTTAATTCTTCACGACAAATTAGAAAATGTCTAATCAATAAACGAAATAATAACAATATACCTGGATAAAGTATCATCATAAATGGAAGACAAGGAAAAGACCATAATCTTCGTAAAAATTTAAAGTTATACCATGTCATAATATCAGTATGATCCATGATATGAATGAATGAACAAAATAGAGATATAACAATTAAACTTTGAATGAAATAGAAAGTGATATGAAATTCATAGATAATCATACTATTTGATAAATAACTTAAAGACAATAAGAATAGTAACAAAAAACCGATAGAGTTACCATTGAATATCAACTTTGAAAACTTATAATGTTTAATGATAACATATAAGACTAGGATGAATAATAAAAGATTTAAGTAGTATATATTTATACATGAAAAAAACGATAAAATACATGTAAACAATAAGAAACCATTATGGATATGTATCATGGGAGTATTGGAAATCTTTTCAATCAATAATAAAAGAGTAATCAAACTGTAACATGTTAAAAGGATACCAAAGAATATCAATGAATCATTGAATTGAGTCCAATGTATACGAAATATGAATTGTAATTCTTTAAGTATATTTATTAATTGTATATCATTGAACTGTTCTATCCAATCATAAGTTGAATTGAATATAATACGATTCATATAAGACATAAGTATAGGAGATAATGGTAATTTGCTTATATTATAAAAATAATTTGCAGTATAAGTGAACATCTGTAAAGGAGAGTTAGTGAAAAATAAATGAAATGGTAAAACATTATACAGGTGCTATGTTTGCAAGCGATTACGAGTTCACCTAGTCTGAGAATGGAACAAAGACTATGACCAAAGACCAATAAGCTAGGTATTCTGATGCATTCCAGCCCCGTTAACTAAAGAGAATAGTTGTTAGCGGGACATAGATTGGAATAAAGCATGCTTAATGAACGATTGCGTTGGCGCACGCTGATTGGATAAGTATTAGCCAATCAGCGCTAGTCGATACTTGGGGAACACTAGAATCTTTTCATGTAAAAACTATAAATATACTGACGTTTTTCCTATTATGCTTCTTACTTTCATCTAATCTTGTTATTTGGGACATAATCTCTTTTCCTGTTCAATCGTGTTCTGATTTGGAGACTTGTCGAATAAACTGGTCACCGAGAATACTGAACAATGGGAATAGCTAGGTTGTAATAAGAGAGAATTATAACAGTAGTCGAAATTCGAACAGGGAAATATATTTCGCAAGCAGCCAGAACCACGAGAGATCCCGACCCGTCTAGTCGAAAATACACTCATTTATGTATTGGTTTGTACAACCAATAATCAGAATAAATCACATACATGAAAATACTTCATACAAGAATAAAATGTCATAGGGGAAATTGAAGCAAATACTATACTGAGTGATCGCCAAATTGAATTAAACAGAATTAATGTTGGACCAAAACTCAGAAAGAATAAATCAATTTAATTTTGGCCTTTCATACTGTCATAACAACAGGCCTTGTGGATCAGACCTTCAGGTCGAAGGCTTGGGGTGTAGCCCCCTAAGAAAACCACCTGCTTCAGTTTGGGAACCCGGGCAGTATCCTAGCCCCGGCACAAATCAAATGATTTATGTGTCGCATATATTTGGTGCCACCTCATACCAATGTTTATGTGCTTGAATAGTGATAATAATGGTCTGATGGCTTCAAAATTTCAGCTAATATACAGAATTGCATTAATTAGCATTGTTTTCATTCTTGTCATACAAAAGACTAGTTTCTTGGGATACTAAATATGTATCACATAAAGTAAAGTAAGTCTGTACTTAGTTATTTGCCAATATACAATGTCGTTACAGTTTTACTCTCCAAAGGTCTGACCGATTTTGATCGAATAAACAATCTTACTTTAACATCTGCTAGAGGGACCAACAAAATACATACAATAATAATATAATGACATTAAATTAATAAAATCATTAGCAGTAAATCATAGATACAAATTTACCTGTATAAAATTCAATACCATACCCTGGTGAAGGTTAGCACCATATCCTAGCAGATGGTCATATAGTATGCCCAAATTCGAATAGGGTATTGGAACATTAGTTAGAAGTGATAAAGTTGGGACAAGATCTATTTGATATAATCGTCTATTAGTTTGGTCCTCTGAATCATCTTTTATGACAAGTGAACTCTGATCAGCAGTAAAAACGATGAAAGCAGCTTCCAGTTCTGCATCACTATCTCCACCATGATCACCTGATCGTGTCATTCCATGGTCACCCAAAATAAATAGAATATCGGAAGATTGAAGTTTGGAAACAATAAGTCTAGAAAGAAATGCATACGGGTAGAGGAACAAACCCAGACAACAATGCGGTATATTTAAGTATAGATGAAAATCGGTGAAAACATCTAAAAATAATTCTGAAAGTCAATGTGATCTTAAAGAAATGTTACAAATTTGGATGGTTTGTAAAGTAGCCTCACCTCACTTCGAGTTGGTCTTAAATAGCTCCGCACGAAGAGTAAGTGTAGACACAGATTAGTCCCAGTCTAGTAGAAGCATTTTTGCAATTCGATGATGCAAAGCACGTACATGGCATAATCATGGACGCTGGTCGTCAAACTGGTTAAGTGTGATTTAGGTAAACTTTATCTGATTGTACATTAAGACGACAGAGCTTGCACAATTAAGACTGAAAAGTTATTCCCACGTAACAGGCTCCAAGTCTATACATTACCACTACGTACATTCTTCAGAATTGTATCGATGGGTGAAATTTAAAGATAAGTGGTGAGACGGAGTAACTCTATTTAGCCTCATTAATGAGTTGGAACAATGTACAGAGTTAGCCATATGCACTCATTTTGTATGTGGTGATTTTGTGCAGAGCTTCCAATATTTTAATAGACTTTTCAGGTGCATTTAGAGAATAGTAATATTCAGAGAATCGAGTGCAACCACAATGTCAAGAAAAAAAACGGACTGTAGGTTTGTGATAATGTTCAAGGATTTGTCGGAAGGTAGAGTCACAGGACTAATACATTCAAAATCTCGATGAACACGGGTCAAATTCTCAAGCGCAGGACATTCGCTTTTCGTTCTCTCAATTTCGTAAACAACAGCCCCGTCATGAGAAGGCCTTCCAGGTTATAGATATACACAGCCATTAACACATTCTCTTGCGAGCTGTTTCTAGAATGTCATCAGTTGGAAACATGAAGAATAATAAGTTTGAGCAGATCTGTCTAAACTCATTACTGGGTTCGAACAATGGAGAGAGGTGATTGTATGCCCTCACTCTTCTTGAGGTATTTGTGTAAAAATCCTTTCAGATATTAATTATCCTTGCATAAAAACCCATGATAGCATAATCCCATCCAACGAAATGAAGGTGACCTCGACATTAAGGAACACAATGACCATTGTTCTACGATAGGTGGAGGGTGTTTTAGAGTTTGGCTGAAGATGAAGCACTAGAGAGAAAACTTATAACCTCGATAATTCTCACACAGGCCAACCCACTAAGGTGAAAGTTATAAAGAAACATCATTTCCTATGCCAGTTTCTCCTCACTTTGATAGGACCCTCCGTATCACCTAACAGCATACAAACGAATGCTAATGGAGATCCATTCCACTAGCAATGCCTTTGCTCTGAAGTTCAGTGCGACACCAATCCCAGTAAAGTATGCAAACCTACAAATGATAAATGAGTTACACTATATTAAACGACAATTATTAACCCATGAAAATATATGATGATAATAAAAATTTCGACTGACTTTATAAAACTGTTTAGTTCATTTAGCTTTCGCGTCATCTCTGGATGTGCAGGTCCATATGTGTGACCACAGTGATCTATCCCCAGCATATGTCCAATAAGAATATCCCAGTCAGTCTGTGGTGTTTGACTGTCAACAACTCCATTATCCCAATCCCATGCAGTACCGTTAAGGGCATAGAGAAAGTAGTTTTCAACACCTCGGTCAACTGTATCCAAATCCTTCACATTGAACGATGAATAAGCTTTATAATGACTGAAACTGTGTGTTGAAACAAAAAATTAAGAGAATACACTGACGAGAATATATATGCACAAGAAAAGCAATGTATATATCAACAGTGAGTCACAAAAATAGCATAATCTGCATGTATTCACAAGTAGGTTAGTAATAAGTCAATGTTACGAATATGTAATGATATTGTAGTGAAGGTAAACATGCTTTAACCACTCTATGTCAAGTATTTTTTTATTATAATTAATAGAATAGGCAACTGGAAATAGTTGAATAATTATATCATATCATACTATTGATCTAACATAAGTGCAGTCAGTCAGGCAGTCGGCTACGAAGTAGGACCAGGCACACATGTGCATCGGTTCAAGTTCCCATACTTCATTAGCACAGCAAGATGACAACCGGATTTATAGAAGTAGTTAATCCAATGGTGGTAATATATAAAAGAAATATTGCATAAAAGGATATAGTACAGGAAGAAAGAATTAGTTCATAGAAAGAAAGATATGAAGCAAAACATAAGTGAGCACTCAAAATGTCATAAACCTCTCATGAAAATCACAAAACGATCAAAAACTATCACTATAACATGCGAATCCTCCAAATGCAACTACGTAGAAGCTTTTACCTATTTTCCATGAGACATGAGATAATAGATCTTATCTCTGTAAATACTCATGGAAGGATGAAACAATATAGCAAAGCAATCAATTTTTAAAAATAACCCCAGCTAGTCAGCTCCTAAAACAAACGCTTTGGATCATAGTGCAGTGAACGATAATACAAGTGGGGACAATCGAATGTATTTGAACACAAAATTGCAGAACATTTTAGTAAGATCTGAGAACCATACAGTAAAATACTTAATTTGCAAAATGTCGATCAAACTTGACTGTTCCTTTTGCAAATATCAGTCAATCGTCTTAGACTTCATTGTTTCTGCATTTCCATACTAATTGCTTTTTGTTCCCGTTCTTTCTTCCTCGATCTTCTTGACCTTCCGTTGCCAGACATTTTATTCCCGACTAGCGTTATACACTACTTATGTCGATATAAGTAGAACACACCACAATATTATCATCAACGAACTACATACGCCACTGAAGTGACTGTAAGTAAAGCATACAACAAAATTATTTCGATAACTAGCGGGAACTAACTGTCCTCAGATTAAATAACGGGAAATGTCATTAAGAGTTTGGCTTAGAAAATAGCAAGAATTTTGTTGCCACCAAATTAGTGCAGTCATTGAGAGTGAACTAGGGGGTATAGCTAAAACACCAAAACAAATACATCGGAATCTGAAAACCTTTAAGCTGAATATAAACTAAACAAACGGCTTGAATAATAATCGATTTGACTTACAAGACTCAATAAAACAGTAAGAGAATGAAAAATGAAATTTGCAGAAATTTCTGACAAATTTATTCTGAAGAACTCTGTGCTCAAAACTACATCCCGGGATATCAAACGAAAATTACCACAATTGACCAACAAACAGCAAAATTCGATAGTCGAGCGAGAAACAGCACTTTATGCAAGTCACTGGTAGCGAGAGGTTTGGTATCGGTAAATAATATGTTTATGTGTTTAATCACCTTCAAAAATAATCTGTGAAATGTGGATGACAATCATTAATCTTCTATTTTGCGTCAAAAATGTTGGCTATTTTCATACTAAACAAATTGGATGGAAAACCCGAAGAACTGACTCATGAGAAATTGACCTGTTTTCATCGAGATTTTGAATGTATTAGTCCTGTGACTCTACCTTCCGACAAATCCTTGAACATTATCACAAACCTACAGTCCGTTTTTTCTTGACATTGTGGTTGCACTCGATTCTCTGAATATTACTATTCTCTAAATGCACCTGAAAAGTCTATTAAAATATTGGAAGCTCTGCACAAAATCACCACATACAAAATGAGTGCATATGGCTAACTCTGTACATTGTTCCAACTCATTAATGAGGCTAAATAGAGTTACTCCGTCTCACCACTTATCTTTAAATTTCACCCATCGATACAATTCTGAAGAATGTACGTAGTGGTAATGTATAGACTTGGAGCCTGTTACGTGGGAATAACTTTTCAGTCTTAATTGTGCAAGCTCTGTCGTCTTAATGTACAATCAGATAAAGTTTACCTAAATCACACTTAACCAGTTTGACGACCAGCGTCCATGATTATGCCATGTACGTGCTTTGCATCATCGAATTGCAAAAATGCTTCTACTAGACTGGGACTAATCTGTGTCTACACTTACTCTTCGTGCGGAGCTATTTAAGACCAACTCGAAGTGAGGTGAGGCTACTTTACAAACCATCCAAATTTGTAACATTTCTTTAAGATCACATTGACTTTCAGAATTATTTTTAGATGTTTTCACCGATTTTCATCTATACTTAAATATACCGCATTGTTGTCTGGGTTTGTTCCTCTACCCGTATGCATTTCTTTCTAGACTTATTGTTTCCAAACTTCAATCTTCCGATATTCTATTTATTTTGGGTGACCATGGAATGACACGATCAGGTGATCATGGTGGAGATAGTGATGCAGAACTGGAAGCTGCTTTCATCGTTTTTACTGCTGATCAGAGTTCACTTGTCATAAAAGATGATTCAGAGGACCAAACTAATAGACGATTATATCAAATAGATCTTGTCCCAACTTTATCACTTCTAACTAATGTTCCAATACCCTATTCGAATTTGGGCATACTATATGACCATCTGCTAGGATATGGTGCTAACCTTCACCAGGGTATGGTATTGAATTTTATACAGGTAAATTTGTATCTATGATTTACTGCTAATGATTTTAATAATTTAATGTCATTATATTATTATTGTATGTATTTTGTTGGTCCCTCTAGCAGATGTTAAAGTAAGATTGTTTATTCGATCAAAATCGGTCAGACCTTTGGAGAGTAAAACTGTAACGACATTGTATATTGGCAAATAATTAAGTATAAAGTTACAGTGATGGTGATGGTGGTTCGGTAGATGAATGTAAAGCTCATTTTTATTGCTAATTATGAAATGTTGGCATCATAACTATCATACGTTTTATTAAGAACTTCTTCACGATAAAGTAAACAAATATATGACATCAATCGACATACCTATCGGGAAATAGATCAATCCAAGTTTCATCGCCAACAAATCGAATTTGTTTTCCAGCTTTATTCCACTGTTTTAGTAAATTATCTTCCAGTACTTTACTTCCGCCAAAATTTGAACCTGCATCTACAAATGTTGGCATACTTCCTGTCATTAGAGCTTTTAAACGTTGTAACGTGGTTGTCGGCGGGTCTGCGACAAACTTCCCAATAAATACCGCTTTAGATAAACTATCAAGTAGTGGATGATATCGATTTTGGGAATGTGATGAAATATGACCAGGTAATAATTGGTTATTTTCATTATTGTCTTGTATAAGTGCATAACCCAATGCATCAACAAGTAAAAGAATAATTCGACCATTTCTAGCAACAGTTGAAGGATAATTCAATGATAATTTCAATTTTTCATTTGTCTCATTGTAGAGCTCAGTTCGATTCAATAAAAAACCATGTAGAAATAGACTGATACCAAGAAAGGCAATAACGATTGATGGTAACTTGGACAACATTGATATCTCGTAGTCACAATGTTTATTGATGTACTTAATGAGACTTTTACTGCATTTTTTTATTATATAGTCCATTTCTTGAAATCAATATAGCTAGTGAACAGAAGGAAACAGTAATGATTATATATTTTGATAACGTAAGAGTAAGGGGAGTAAAAGCTTATAAATTGATTTGAATAGCTTTTATAAATTAATGGATAGATGGAATTTAGAATTTATATTATGTTCGGTTAAAAAAGAATAAGAAAGAGTTAGGAAATTACATTTACACAAGACAAAAAGTTTAGGCAATTTATCTTAACATCTGTGATATTGATTATCAAAGTCCCCACATTTCTTTAGACGTAATCATCCGCTCCTTTTCATCTCTTTGTGTAAATAAGAGCTCAGTAGCACTAATCTTATATAATAAATTCTGCTTCAAGTGAACCAATAAATAAACCTTGACTATTATCTTAACTAACGAGTAACCACTTCACCTTTTATAAACATATTTGATGAATACTGAGGGAATAAACATAAACCAAGAGTATCCTATCACATGGGACGGACGGTTTTGGAATTTACTAAAGTATTCACAATAATCAAATGCTGTCTGTTTAGCTGTATTTTTCGTTTCAACAAAAATCAGTTCCTCTACGTTGGACCTATCAATGGTAATAGGTGTTAAGAACTAACAACAACAGGAAGTAATACTAAGTATGTTCAAATTGAATCTATTGTAGAAGTAAATACAAATTAAAAACGTTGAAATAAATTACCTGTAAATGAACTTCGAGTACCCACATCTAGCGCATAAGCTTTTTCGATCAAATCAACACCAACGCGAAAATCACCTGGGACAATTATTTGAAGGTGAAATGAATAAATAAGTGGGTATGACTTCAAATGCACACACCAAGATTTTACAGAAGTGACATTTAGTGAGAAGATACTATTTCTACTAATTCTCCAGGTAGTTTACGCTATGAAAAAACTCGTGTCAAGATTATTTTGATTGTAAACGTAAATTATGCAATTCAGTCAGTCAGTCAGTCAGCTACAACGTAGGACCAGGCACATATGTGCATCGGTCCAGGTTGCCATACCGCATCAGCACAACGAGATGAACACCGGATTCATAGCAGTGGTTAGGTCAAAGGTGGTAATATATAAGAGAAAGATTGCACATAAAGATATAGTACAAGAAGAAAGAATTGGTTCGTAGAAAGAAGGATATGAAGTGATTTTAATCTCTTAGTTTAAGGGAAGACACAGAGTGTATACACCGACGCCATTGAGATCGACTCTGAGCCATGTCACCAAGAGTCTCCAACCATTGGTTACGAAAGTCACGCTGACCCCAACCAAGTAGTCTGCATCTACCAACATGGCTCAGACTAGAAGTTAATGTCTTCAAGCACTGATGCCACGTTTTGGTTTGGCCGCCCCTAACTTTCTTCCAACCATCTCCAATACCGGATAGCATTGCACGTCGTGGTAATCGGTGTTCAGGCATACGTAACACGTGGCCCAACCATCTCAGTCGATGAAGATTCATAACCTCATCAACTGATTTACCATCATTCCCTAATACCCTGCGTCTAACCTCACTATTATTTTATTTATTTATTTATTTATTTGAACACATAAATATTGGTACAAGAGAGCGCCAATATATATGCGCCACACAAAACAATGGGAATTCGAAGAGAAGTAGAAAGAAAAAAAAAACTAAGGAACGCAAAAGAAAAAGAGAGTAATGACGAAGAGGTACAATCAGAAGAAATCTTTCAGGTAAAGGAGACACAACCACTTTTTATGAAGAAAGTAAAAGAAGGTTACAGCAGGATCGCCACTGGCTTCTATTCTGAGCCATATCTGATAACGTCTCTAGCCACTGTGTTGCACCATCTCTCGGACCCCAGCCAGGGAGTCGTGAAGGACCAACACAAGCCAGTCCTTTGCAGCTCTCTTTCATGCCACGACACCATGTCATGCACTGACCACCTCTCCGCTTCTTCCAACCAGTCCCAGAGTCGGCAAATAATGCACGACGTGGAATTCTCTGGGACGACATTCGGAGAACATGTCCAAGCCACCGAAGTCGGTGTTTCAAGATGGTGACACCAATTGAGTTATCATCTCTGTGCCCGAACACACGATGCCGAACCTCTGCATTACTGACATGGTGTTGCCACTGAATGTCAGCAATCCTTCGGAGACAGCGATGATCAAACACAGAGAGTCGTCTAACGTCCTCAACTCGGAGAGGCCAGGTTTCACAAGCATAGAGCAAAACTGCTCTCACCGACGCGTTGTAGATCCGGCCTTTTACAGCCAGACTGACATCACGAAGGCGCCAAAGGTGGCCCAGATTGGCATAAGCCGCTCTGGCTTTCATTATTCGTGCATTGATCTCATCACTCACACCCCCACCAGCACTTATGCAGCTACCCAGATACACGAACTTCTCAACTACGTCTATCTGCTCACCATCCAGGGTGAGTACAGGATTGGGATCCTGCCAGTCTTGTAGAAGTACTTTGCACTTCGAAGGTGCAAAGCACATACCATACCTACGGACATTGATTGCCAACTGATTAAGTGCGGATTGCATGCCTTGGGCATTATCGCACAGTAAGACAATATCGTCCGCATACTCAAGGTCGAGAAGTCTTTCTCCAGGCAACAGATCCACACCACCATTACTTACATTCATCAGAGCTGTTTCCAGAATGTCATCGATGGCAAAGTTGAAGAGGAATGGTGAGATTGGGCAACCCTGCCTAACCCCACTGCTCGAATGGAACAGTGGAGAGAGGTGGTTGTATGCCCTCACTCTGCCTGAGGTGTTTTTATACAGGGCTTTTAGGATGTTAATAAACTTCTCAGGCACACCCTTCTTCAATAGACAATCCCAGAGAACAGTCCTATCCAACGAATCGAAGGCAGCCCTGATGTCAAGAAACACTACGATTGTTGGCCTTTGAAAAGTATGGCGGTGTTCTAACATTTGGCGGAGGGTGAAGATATGATCAATACATCCTCGACCAGAACGAAACCCAGCCTGCTCCTCGCGAGTCAATCTTTCTCGGGTTTTGAACAACCTACGAAGAATGACGGAAGCCAATAGCTTGGACGCAATCGGAAGTAAACTTATCCCCCGATAGTTGTTACAAGAACGACGTGAACCCTTTTTAAAGATAGGGACAACTATCGACTCATTCCATGACGTTGGTACACTCTCTAGATCCCAAACCTTTGTAAACAACGTCGTCAATTCCTTAGTCAAAAAGTCACCACCATCTTTAAAAAGAGCCGGAGGTAAGTCATCTGGGCCAGGTGATTTGTAACGCTTCAAGAGTTGGAGTTCCTTGTGGACTTCCTCCTCATTTGGTGGATCAGTCGTCACCGGCCATGGAGGGCAGGACAGTCTGACCGATGTTACTGGAGCGGCAGGCCAGTTGAACTGCCCTTCGAAAAATTCTGCCCATCGTCCAAGACGTCGATGGATGTTTGTGATTGGCATCCCATCATCCTCGCAGATTGTTTCACTCACACCAGACTTCTTGCTGCCAGTGACTCGGATGAGTTGGAAGAGCTTCCGGTAGTTACCAGATGCAGCTGCTGCTTCCAGCTCATTAGCACGCATCGACCACCAGGCTTCTCGGTCCTTACGCAAGCTTTGCCCAATTTCCTCACGTAACATCCTTCGTTTATGGTCAAACTCACGGTTACCCGGAGTAGACCGACGGGCTTCAATGAGTTGTAAGGAACCAGAAGAAACCCAGTGCTTAAAAGCGGGACGTTTCGCAAACCCACAACTGACTGTTCCCGCCATTTTCATGGCGTCATGCAATTGCAACCAATGCTCATCTATACTTTTCGGTGGAGTGGTAGCTAGCCTAGAGGCTAGCTCGGTTCGATACTTACTTGCAACAGAAGTTGCAACCAGCTTGCTAACATCAATCCGTTGATGGCGTTCACTTCGTTGTCCACTGAAAAGTAAGGCAAGATTGGCGCAGACCAAGGCATGGTCAGAGTCCAGATAGGTACTCCAAAAGGAGCGGCAGTCTTGTACACAACCACGCCAGCGGTAGCTGATCGCGATGTGATCAATCTGAGTCCAGGCTTGAGATGCAGAGGGAGGACGCCAGGTGGCACATCGGCGATGACTGTGCCGGAAGTTAGTGCTAGCCAGAAACAGGTTGTGGTCTGCGCAAAGTTGCAGTAGACGGTCCCCATTATCTGACCTGCGACCAACGAGTCCCCATCGGCCACCTAAACGACTCTCTTCTGTGCCTAGACGCCCGACCTGAGCATTCAAGTCTCCGGCTAGTACTACAATATCTGTCGAACGCACTTTCTGGAGAAGAACTGATAACTGGTGGTAAAACTCATCCTTGATTGCATCCGGGCTGCAATCTGTCGGGGCATAGGCGGAGATGACGAAAAGACATCGTTTCTCACGCCGATTTCTTCTCACTTTGATGGAACTTTCTAATCTAACAGCACATAACCGACTGTTAATGGGGATCCAATCGACTAGTGCTGCCTCAGCTCTAGCGCTTAGTGCGACACCAACGCCAGCAAAACCAGACGAAGATGCCACAGGGTCCCCGGATAAGCGCACGTAAAACAAGCTTTTCGAAGCGACAGATGGAGATCGAATTTGTAGTACTTCGCCAGAGTCTTGAATACGAGTCTCGGATAGACAACACACGTCGATATTAAGACTTTCCAAAGACATAGACAGCCCTATCTGTTGTCCGACCTGCATAAATGTGCGAACGTTGAAGGCAGCCAGTTTGAATGATGCACGTGGTTTCAGAAAATCTGCTTCAGTCCTCGTATTCGGTGGTAACATACAATTTTCAACCGGACAGTGACTCGAGAACGTTTAGATACAGTCGGAATTCCACCAAAGACGAGCCGCTGTATAAGTATAAAAAAGGTGAATAATGTGGAAAATAATAATAATAATGATAATAATAACAATAATGACAATAATAGTAGTAATGATAATATTAGTATTAATAATGACAATAATTGAAGTGATCATAATTTGAATCAATTGATTGTTTTTCAAAGCG